GCAGTTCTGAGCAGTGAGGACAGTAGGTTCAAAGGCCCTGAGGCTAGGACAAGCTCTGATATGTCCAAGACAACAGCAAGGAGAAGGCCAGCATGCCTGATCCAGGAGAAAGGTAAAGGTGCTGGCTGCATGGGCAGGGTCTGGTTAGTCAGCTGCTCCTGACAGGTGAATTTGTTCATCTGCTCTCTGCTGCTTCATCTGCCCTTCTCACCAAGGCAAACTTTCCGTTAGTCATTCTGGTGGTTGTTAGAGAGTTCCTCCTACCCTAGTCCTATGAGTCCCCAGGGTTCTTCCTCTGGAGTGGAGGCCTCAGCTGAAGTTAGGACCACTGAGAAGTAGGAAGCTGAGTGGATATCAACAAGAAGCAGAGTTAGTGCTTTTGTGACCTGGTACTGGGTCACCATGGTCAGTGACTTCCCATCTCTGGGCCTCAGTTTTCTGAGTTAGGAAGCAGGAAGGAAGAGGATACCCTGCCCACCCAGGACTGTTTGGCAGGCCCAGCATTGCCCTCTAAGACTGGGGCTGGCCTGCATGCAAGCCAGCAGCTATGCAGGGGCACATGCTGCCCTGATTGCAGCCACAACTGACTAGGTTACTACACCTGCCTTCATGTGCTGCCAGTAGAGTGGGCAAGAAAGCAGGAGGCAAACCGATGACTCCACCATGTCAGGAGCCAGCAGCGCTGGAGAGGTGGACTGTGTGCCACGCCTGCCACCTCCACTTTTAGGGAAGCCCGAGACCTGCCTGCTTCTGCCCCTGTGCAGTCTCTTGACCACTGTAGCTCCCACTGGATCCTCTTCCCTGGTTCTTTTCCCTGGTTCCCTGCTCTTTTCTTGCCCAGCACTCGGCCACACACCTAGCAAGAGTGAGCCTGTAAGGAGCCCATGAGGCCAGAGTCATTGCACCCACCCTGCACAGAGAGTCACACCTCCACCACTAAGAAAAGGCCCTGCCTCACCTGCCTCCCAGATGTGTCTGTTCCCTCTCTCCTGCCTTACAGCAGCCATATCTGCAACTCAGCATGAGCCTTCCTTGGGATCTTTACTCTGGCATTTCCCACTGCCCAGTATGGTCTGTGCTCGGGTGCTTGCCCTTGGTGCAGCCTGGCTGCCACTTTACTGAAAATGCCACCCTCACCTTCCCCAGCACCTCCTGAATGTGGCTTCAGTTCCTTTGCACACCACCTGCCGCCATACAGACCTCCTGATGCTGCGTGCCCTGGCTGTCTCCTTCCCTGGCACAAGCTCCCAGGGCCAGGATGCTTCTGGCCATCCCATCCACCGCTGAAGTCCTGGCCTGGCTGAGCCTTCCTCAGTAATGATCCACAGGCGCCTCGCTCAAGGGGTGGGTGCTGTGACTTGTGGGTTCACTTGTGGGTGGAGAGTATACTTGCCCAGGAGGGATAAGAGGATGTGTCAGTGCCAAAGCCTACTGACTTCTTAGAACTGGATCAGAGTAGAAGGCCTCTTAAGAGACTGCATGATGGGGGGTGTGTGGGGTGATGGTGAGAGCTGGCACAGGGGTGGAGGCGGCTGCCAGGCCCTCAGGGCAGAGTAGGGCCTGCCATGGGCTGCATAGGCAAGCCAGACTTCCCTCTGTTGTCATGGCATAGCTCTTTAAGGCAAGTGGTAAACTGAGGTAGAAAGAGACCTTCCCAGAGCGAGCGGGAAAAGATCACATGTGATAGAGAGTAAGCAGGACCCACAGTGTAGGCTTTGGACTGTGGCTATTTCACCCTAGTGACTAAAATGAAGGCTGCGTCCTCTGTGCTTCCCTGGACCCTGATTCTAGCTGGCCACCCCACCCTCCCTCTCCTCAGGGATGCTAGCCTTGGAGCCCAAAGGGCTGCTGTGGGGGTCAGAAAGTAAGCAGTTTTGCTCAGTCATGTGTGCGCACACACTCAGAGTCTTGTTTTACGAGTAATCTTAGCCTTCCACTGGCTGATGGCAGGGGTGGAGGGGTTGACGGTGGGTCCTGGTTTTTTCTCATGAGGGGGCAGAGGGTAGAACAAGTGAGTGTGGGGGAGCTTGAACACTTTGGTAGCTTTTGGTAGGCCAGGTCAGAAACAGCCTGTTCCACATGTTAACAAGTTCAAGAGATTTTTTTTTAATTGAAATAAACATTTTTATAGTAGGATACAAAATGTGCCTGCATTTTGAGGATCAAACATTGTACTTCAGAGGTGACTGTGCCCCTGGCTGGGACTGCAGCCCATGTGTCTCCATTTCACTTCCTCTCTGCCCTCTAGGGTCATCAGGTCGCCCTAGCCTCTGGTGCTGTCCATGTGTTTCTCCAGACTTTTCGATGTGGCTAGAGTGTATGCCGGGGCAGATTGAAGTATCCGAGCAGGGGCAGCGCCGCCCGTAACAGTGATCTGCACGAGGGATGGGACAGTATCTGGGGTGTTGGGGGACAGCAGGGAGCAAGAGGATGATGGCCATTGCTCTTGAGGAGCTGACCTGCTAGGGAAGAGAGACAGATTTAAAGGGGTGCACACATGTGTATACACCCCATATAGACGTCTGTGTGGTGAGTGCAGGAGGCAGTAGAGCAAGAGCCAAGGTGGCAGGGACAGGAATATCTGAGTACAGGACATGTGTGGGCAATGCAGGAGGTTCCAGCTGGACAGCCCCTGCCAAGGCCCAGGGGGACGCATGTAGGACTTGATACTAAGCAGGGAGGCCACAGGCTAGACAGAGTGAGCAGGGGCAGGGAGGAGAGGAGGACAGCAAGGCGGCAGGAAGATCCCTCGGGACTCGTGGGCCGTGTGAAGTTTCGGGAGCCAGTAAAGGGTTTCAGCACGTGGACTCTGAAGTGTTTCAGACGCCGCTAGGGCCTGCTCTACCTGGAGACCTTAGAGAACGAGTTCACCTCTGTGAGCTTCCGTTTCTACATATGTGAAGTAGGCTCAGAATGGCCACTTCACTGACGGTAAAGGGAGCCAGTGAACTCCATGTAGACATCTATCTACCTGGGCCCCCTGACATGGTGATGGCAGGGTCAGGATTGGAGCTGAGCCCTCAGTGAGACATGTTTAGTGTCAGGGACTTGTTTTCAGACATCTGATCTGCAGACTGACCTACCCAAGGCCCATGGAAAAGGTGAAAATCATAGAGGTGGCTGCTTGCAGTGCCCAGCCTGGAGTCTGATGTCCAGCCTGTTGCCTTTGCTGAGTCACTTGGATTAGTGGCTGTCCTCCCTGGCTTGTTTTCCTTGTCTGTTGCATGGGGTGGTAATGGCCCCTTCCTCCTGGATTGGATGCACAGGTTACAGGAGGGATGCTGGGTAGAGTGCTGAGAGGAGCAGCACCCAGTAGGCGCTGAGTCTGTGGGCTGCTGCTGAAATGGTGGCAATGTTAAGCACTTTCTGTGCGCATGTGGCTCTGATCGCTGTGGCTGTATCTGAGCCAGGCCCTTGGTGCCTTGTGCTCCTGTGTGCTGTGCGATTTCTTGTAAAAACTTTCAGAATCAGCTGCTGTCATCACCCTCTTTTAAAAGAGGCCAGCATTGAGCTCCCTGGAGTGCGGTGGATCAACTCACTCCACTTTACAGATGAAGTGAAGTTTCACAACTCTTGCAGCAAACATTTTTAAGGCCAGGGTTGCCTGAATATGAAGTTCTGAGCTGACCTGGGACTGGGTTAGCTTTGGGGTCCCTGCCTTGGGAGCCTGCAGGGCCAGGAGCTGTGTGGGAAGGACCTGAGTGGCACTTTTGCCTGATCATTATAAACATGGCCAGTTCCTCTGTTTGTCCTGCCCTCCATATGGTGCCTAGAGGAAAGGGTCGGCCCAGGCAAATATCCGGAGGTGTGTTCCTCCGACCCTTTGCCTGCTGGGTCACAGGAGTGGCAGCATGTGGGGAGGCAGCCAGTGTGGGTGGGGGATATGGTGGGAAAGGCAGCTACCCTCCAGTAGCCTCCCATCTCTATCCTGAGTTCCTCCTACTTCAGGACCTGGTGCTTCCTCCCCTGGGTTTAGTGAGCAGTTACATGGCTGACCCTGGTCCCACCTTAGTGCTCTCAGGTGGGGAGGGGGTTTATGCTGGCAGAGCCAGGAGTTCATGGTGAGGAGCTGGCTACACAGAAAGCCAGGGAGGCCGTAGGACCTGGGGCATGGAGCTAGTGCTTTGCAGGAAAGGACAGCCCCAGCAGCTGGAACTAGAAAGATCTAGAGCCAAGAAGGAAACGATGGGGCAAAGAAAGGTCAAGGCCACTAAGATGGATAGAATGAAAGGCTGGAAGGAGGGATAGGCAGTGTTCAGGAGCTGACACTGAGGAGAGGCACTCGAGGGTCTCTTAACCATGCAGTGTCCCCTGCCCCTCTTGGGGCTGTCCCACCTAACATCCAGTTATGTAGGCTAGGGCAAATGGACTCTGGGCCAGTGCGAGAGCCCTGGCCAGTCCTGGCTCTGACCATCACTGGCCCCAAGGGGCTAGCTGAGACAGGTTGGCTGCTGCGTCCCTACCCACCTCCCACTGGGCTGCCACTGCCAAACCGGTTCTCCCAGATGGCTGCCCATTGATGGTCCTTCCTCTGGGATGGGACCTCCCTCCCTTCTGATCTTCTGCTGACAAGACTGGGTCCTCATGGGAAGGCCAAGCTTGGAGGGGGAGGGGACACGTGGTCAGAGGTATGTTGAGGTTCACAAGATTGGAGGCTAGCCCTGTGGCTAGTGCTGTACCAGGAGCTGGGGAACTGCTGGGCATGAGAAAGAAGTCCCCACAGCATGTTTCTCCTTGTGCTGTGGCCTTGACTCTCCTGGCGCCTCTCCTGGGAAGTTTCCCCTTAGCCTAGCCTGCTGTCCCTCTAGGGCTGGGACTGTGTCCCTTGCATGCCAGCCCTGACCACTCTGGAGGCATGTCAGTCTATCTCACATGGATCCCCAGATCAGAGGCTCTCCAGCTTCTCAGCTGGTTCCACATGCAGCCAGCAGAGGGCTGGATGGTGGGTTACTGAATGAAGCAAGAAATGAACTTGTGGATCTTTTTCCTTTATCTTACAGATGAGTAACCCGAAGCCCCGAGGGGAGACATCACCTGCCCAAGGGCACTTCTAGCCCAGCCAGCCTCAAACCAGGTCTGTGTGACCCTAGGACCCACATGTGGGACTTCTGAGATGAGGCTGCAAGGCACAGGGCCATCCGAATGTTGTGGCAGCACACCTGGCGGGCTCGTCTGTCATGCCTGGGACTCTGTTCATCTGTCTTTTCTCACAGCAGCCCTGTGGGCTCAGGGTGTGGAGAGCGTGGAGAAGCCCAGTCACTTGCCCTGGGTCACCTGTGGCAGATGGCAGGGGAGAGTTGTCTTTACCTACTGACTCCCCTCAGGCCTCTTGGACTTCCAGAGAATTTACTCTCTGCCAGGGGCTGTTTAAAGTGCCCAACTGAAAACTAGACCATAAAGCTTGGGGTGTCATGGTGAGGACACCTGGACATCTGTACCTCTGTACCTACCCTCATCTTAGTAGGCAGCAGAGCCGGGTGGCAAACGCAGGTGACAGGGATCATGTGGGCCACAGGGGGGCTCTGAGCAGGAGAGGTTTGTGACCCACCCTGGCTGCCCAGGAGGAACCCACAGGGTAGAGGGCTGGGGCTGGGTCTGGGGCAGGTGGCTGGCTATAGGCAGAGGAGAGAGGCAAAGGATGTGGGTGAGTATCCACCTCCCACTCACCCCACTGCCCACCATGCTTACCCCCAACAGCGCCTCAAGCGCAGAGGCTCCGGCACCATGTTTGGGAAGAGGAAGAAGCGGGTGGAGATCTCAGCACCTTCCAACTTCGAGCACCGTGTGCACACAGGCTTTGACCAGCATGAACAAAAGTTCACAGGGCTGCCCCGCCAGTGGCAGAGCCTGATCGAGGAGTCAGCTCGCCGGCCCAAGCCCCTCGTGGACCCCGCCTGCATCACCTCCATCCAGCCCGGGGCTCCCAAGGTACACCATTGCTTACCACCGCCTCCCCCAACCTGTGCTACCCCCAGTGGCCCCAGCCCTTAACCCTGTCCTTGACCCTGCAGCCAGCACCTCCTCACTGACCTTCCCACATCTGCAGCCTAAGGCTGGCCTTCTACCCTCCCCTTCCCATGGGCCCCATCCTGAGAAGGTCTGTCCCCTTCTACAGATCCCCACACCGGCCTCTAAGTCCTGCCCTCACTCCAAGCTGCATGCCCTGAGCTCCGTGTCCTGTTCCCGGTACCACATAGCTGACCTCTAGCCTGCCCAGAGCTTCCTGACAGGAAGGGAAGGACCCACTCCCAGATGGTGACAGCCCCAAGTGGTCAGCCTGAAGTGAGAGATCTGAGATGTGGCACCTGGGCCAGGCAAGGGCTCCCAGTGAGCCTCCTGGAGGAGGGAACCTTAGCTGCACCCGAGGACTGAGAAGGAGGGGGAAGTGAGCTAGCAGGAGAAGCAGGGCGTGTATCAAGGAAATGGCTTTTGTGACACGTTGAGCTTTTGGTTTTGTGGAATTTTCCCTGCCATCTTGAACAAAAATGTCAGGGTCAGGATTGGAGCTGAGGTCTGTTTCTGTGGCCCATACTCTTCACCCCTTCATGCTCCGTGGGTGCTATAGGAGCTGTGGCCTGCAGCCAGGCTAGCCAGTGCAAGATTGCCCATGCCAAGCCTGTTAAGCCAGCGTTGGAGCACAGACTGTCCAGGACTGATGGGGTGTGGAAGGGCTGTGACTGGGGGAGCTTGGCCAGGTTTGTCCCCAGAGGGTGGAGAGGGGTGTGCCTGTTGGTCAGCAGGCCAAATGCCTGGGCAGGACGTGGCTGACTCATCCTCTCTGGATGCCCAACCCAGGCCTGGCAAGGAGGAGGCCCAAGGTCAGTGAGTTGACCCTGGGCACAGTGCTGCATCTCAGGCTGAGGCCAGCAAAGAGTGTATGTGTGACCCCTGAAAACTGCTCTGCATATTTGAACTTCTTTCCACTAATTTAAAAGCAGCATTGCTACACACCCATCACCCCAGCTTCTCCAGAGGCCGAGGTGGGAGGTGTGCAAATTTGAGCCCACCCTGGACAACCTAACAAGACCCTTTCTTTTTTTTTTTTTTTTTTTGTGTGTGTGTTTTTTTCCTTTTTATCGGTACCGGGGATCGAACTCATGACTGTCTGCTTGCGAGGCAGGTGCTTATGCCGCTGAGCTAAATCCCCAGCCCCAACAAGACCCTTTCTTAAGATAAAAAGGGTTGTGGATGTGGCTGAGTGGTGGAGTGCTTGCCTAGTGAGCATGAGGCCCAGGGTTCAGTTCCTGGGTACTGAAATAGAAAAATAATAAAACTGCTTAGCAAGCAGTACACTTCACAGCTGAAGCTCTGTTTGTGGCTTCTCATGGCAAACCAGCTGGTACCCAGTGACAGCTGTCTCTAGGTGGGCCCTGGCTCTTTTGGACCCACAGTTATGTTGTGCCCCACCCTCCATGTGTAGAGCCACTACACACAGGTTGTGCCCATCCCCAGTGTCTGAGAATTCAGGCTTTGCTTTGCTCACAGCCAAGAGCCTTACCTGCAGCTGGTGCCTCGAGTGGGAAGAGTGTCTCACCCTAGTACTTGTGCTTGTTGTCCTTGGCCAGCAGTATCCTCATTCTAATGTCACGGCCAGACCCTGTGTCTTCCTTGCTTCCTTAGGTCCCTGGGCTAGGCCAGGCTTCCGAGCCAACAGCCAGGGCCCAGGAGAGGCAGGGGCAGCAGCCTCTGTGGCCTGGGGTGTGTGTGTGGAGTGTCTTCGGCACACCAGAGGCAGCGTGAGCCCATATTGCTGTGGGCCAATGATCAGCAGCAGGCAGGGCCCACATTCCTGACCCCTCATGGCTTCTGCCAGCCTGCTTCCCTCCCTCCCTCCCTCGCTGGTTAAGCAAATGTTTACTGAGCACCTTCTGTGTGCCTGGCACCATTCTGGGCCGAGATGTAGTAGAGCTGGAAGCAGATGGGAGAAAACACTCGCTGCCTTTGGGATTGTTTGGCTGGGCAGAGCCATACAGTGGCAGATGTATCCGTGCTTTGTGTCAGTGTGTGCTGAGTGCCTGGGGTAGAGAGAAAGCAGGGAAGAAGGCAGCAGCTGCTGTTTTAGACTGGGTGCTCAGTGAGCCTCACTGAGAAGCTGGGTTCTGAACAGAAGCCTTAAAGGAAAGAGAAAGAACCATGAGGACACCCAGGGCAGTGCGAGCAGCCAGTGCAAAGGCCCTGAGGTGGGCATGTGTCTGGTGTGTCAGACGAGCCAGGAGTGGGCCTGTGTGCTTGGAGCTGAGGGCCTGCAGGGAGACTGGAGGCCACAATTCAGTGCCCAGGGGAGGCAAGGTGGCTGGATCCAGGATGCATTTGCATTTACATGACCCCAGGGCCGTCTTGCCCTCTACTTTGACCCACAGTCACATTCACTCTCCCTATACCCCACCTCCTTCTCCAGGAAAGCAAAGAGTGTTGTTTTGGGGTTAATGACCCTGGCAGCTTATAGGGGAGGAGGAGCTGAGCCAGGCCCTGGCCTCAGCAGCCTATAATTTGCAGCTTCCAGAACTGATTACAGGGTGGGCTGGCCCCCACCCCTCCCCCCAGCCAGGATTCTCCTCCAGTCTGGGGAGCCAGGGGACAGGGATGTCACCAACCTGGGCTGTGGGATGACAGCCTGACCACAGAGATTGCTCTTGAAGTTCCCCTTCACTGTGGCTGCAGTGAAGTGGCTGCAGGGTGCCCTGTCCTGCCCCCACCTGCCCCCCCATCATCACCCCATGGCATTTCTTCATTGTGTCTCTGTCTTGTCTCTGTGTGTGTTGTGTTGTCCTGTCGTATGTTGGTGCACTTCCTGTGTCCCCCTCCCTGCTTGGCCCCCACCCCCTTTGCCCTGGACCCCAGACCATCGTGCGTGGCAGCAAAGGTGCCAAGGATGGGGCCCTCACGCTGCTGCTGGATGAATTTGAGAACATGTCGGTGACACGCTCCAACTCCCTACGGAGAGACAGCCCACCACCCCCAGCCCGTGCCCGCCAGGAGAACGGGGTGCCAGAAGAGCAGGCTGCCGCAGCCAGAGTGGGCCCAGACAAGGCCAGCAGCCGAGGCCGGGTCACCACTCACAGTGAGGCGGGTGCTGGCAGTGGTGACAGCCGGCGAGTGGGGCCAGAGAAGAGGCCCAAGTCCTCCAGGGAAGGCCCAGGAGGGCCCCAGGAGTGCTCCCGAGACAAACGCCCTCTCTCCGGGCCTGATGTTGGCACTCCCCAACCTGCCAGTCTAGCCAGAGGGGCAAAACTGGTGGCTGGCAGGCCTTTTAACACGTACCCACGGGCCGATACGGACCACCCATCCAGGGGTGCCCAGGTAACCTGTCCCCCAGGACCAGCCCCATGCATTGCTCATCCTGACCACTCATGTGTCTGTCCCACACCAAGAGCAGAGCATCCCCTCACAGCCCCCTTTCTCTTCTGTTGCAGGGGGAGCCTCACAATACAGCTCCCAATGGGCCATCCATGGGGGGCCTGGCAGCCCCCCAATCCTCTTCCTCCCGGCCTCCTGCCCGAGGCCGTGGTGCTCCCAGCCCTGGAGTGCTGGGCCCCCATGCCTCTGAGCCCCAGCTGGCCCCTCCAGCCCGCACCCTCACTGCCTCTGCTGCACCCCCAGCCCCCGGCCCCCCTGGCCCCCGCTCACCCCAGAGGGAGCCCCAGAGAGTGTCCCATGAGCAGTTCCGGGCTGCCCTGCAGCTGGTGGTGGACCCAGGGGACCCCCGCACCTACCTGGACAACTTCATCAAGATTGGCGAGGGCTCCACAGGCATCGTGTGCATCGCCACTGTGCGTAGCTCAGGCAAGCTGGTGGCGGTCAAGAAGATGGACCTTCGCAAGCAGCAGCGCCGTGAGCTGCTCTTCAATGAGGTGGGAAGGAGCAGGGGCAGTGGGATCCTCCGCTTTCCTTCTCTCCCCACCCTGTTCTTTCTCCCCCTGGCCCAGGCCCGTCTTCACTCTTCATATCCTCCTGGGCCATATCTGCACCCCCCCCCTCCAGCATGGGCTTCCCACTTCTTTCCTGACCACCCAAGCCCACTTTACTGTTTCCTCCACCTCCTGAGTCCCAGCCCACCTGCAGAGTGCCTCCAGGCTGGAGCCCTGATCCCTGCTCCATGCGGCTTTGTCTTACCCCACTCAGCTCCTGCCCGGCTGCCCCCTCAGGCATTCCCCTGACAGTCCCCACATGGCAGCCAAAGGAATCTTTGACATTCAGACCTGCTTGTCCCTGCCTAATGGGCCCTCAGGCTCCCCCAGTGCCCTTGGGGTAGGGTTCACCCCTTTGCTGCCATTTCAGGCCCTGCACCATCCGGCCCCCAATGGGTGTTTGGTTTCATCCAACTTCTAGCTGGATCTTGGTGGCCTCTCTGACAGGACTTGTTCCAAAGCAGCCTCTGGGGTCCAAGAGGGGAGTCTGGGCATGAGAAATGTTCCCCGCCTCTGGTTAGGAGCGCCAAGGGGAGGCCCGGCCTGAGGCTGCCTGGACAGCTCCCACCTGCCTCTTTCCAGCACTTTCTCCACTGTCCCATAGCCAGCTCTCACCCACATTCCCCTGGGCCAGCTGCACAGAGGACTCAGGAGTAATACCAGCCCCTGACACAAGCACAGGGCCCCCCAGTCCAGCCCCTGACAGTGGCTGAAGTTCACCATCCTCCCCAACACACATCCTTTCCCTGCTTATCCTTCTTACTTCAGCTCTGTACCTGGCCTTCCTCCACTCCTGTCCCAGCACAGCCTCTGGTTAGGGCTGCTGAGCCCAGCCTAGGCCAGGCCAGGATGGTGTCCAGGTGAGGGCGCACCCCCAGAGTACAGGCATTGGGCTTCAGGCTGGCCTTATCGGTGGGTCCCAGCCACCAGGGTCAGTTGGCCAGGCTGAAGAGGGAGGTGGGAGGCTGGTGGGGGCTGGGCTGAAGGCTGAGGCTGGTGCTCCCTGCCCCGGCAGGTGGTGATCATGCGGGACTACCAGCACGAGAACGTGGTGGAAATGTACAACAGCTACCTGGTGGGGGATGAGCTCTGGGTGGTGATGGAGTTCCTGGAGGGTGGCGCCCTCACTGACATTGTCACCCACACCAGGTAATGAAGGGGGCGGGGACCCTGCTGGCTCTTCAGCACCCTTCCGATCTCTGCCAGGAAGGGACTGCATCCCTCCGGAGGGTTTGGTAGGGTCATGTCTCCTTGGAGCCAGCAGAACTGTGGGGCCCCAGGATAAGAGTCTCAGGTTCCTTTGGCAATGGGTCGGGGTCCCCCATTGACTCCCCAGGATAGGCGCTGTCTGCTCAAGTCTGCTACCCTATCCCAAGGCAGGGCTGGTCCTTCTTGGATCTGGGCCGGCACTGTCTGCCCGTCAGCCCTCTGCTCGTAGGATGAACGAGGAGCAGATTGCTGCCGTGTGCCTGGCTGTGCTGCAGGCCCTGTCTGTGCTCCATGCCCAAGGTGTCATCCACCGGGACATCAAGAGTGACTCGATCCTGCTGACGCACGATGGCAGGGTGAGGAGGGGGTGGCAGGGACTGGCTTCCCTGCCTCACCCAGTACCCTCTGCTGCTCAGTGACCACAGAGCAGTGAACAGATCTGTGCCTCATAGAACGGTCCAGACTCTGGGGGCCAGGTTGGTGGGCACCAATCAGCACACAATTAACAGCTATAGACTAGCACCGGGGCCCTGTGACAGCCACAGCTCTGCCACATACTTCTCTGTCTGCTGCTGCTGACCCCCTGTAAGCAGTGGATGGGCCACAGACCCTGGGCCTGCCTTCCCTGTTTTGGGCTGAAGTTTGGACTCTGTGGCCATGGATGATCTACACAGCGCCCAGCACTTGCATTTCTAATCCAGGGAGTTTTCTGTGGGACAGGCCCTGGGACCACCACATTCTTGCAAAGCTGGTGACTCTGCCAAGGAAGGTCCATCAGTGAGGGCAGAGGCAGCACATGTTTCTACTGAGAGGATGAGAAGCCAGGGCTGTCTGCAGATGTCTCCACAGAACATCTGTGAGCCTTCTGAAATCGCACCCACCTGTGTGGGCGTGTGTTCTGGGGGCGAGCAGATCCATAGATATCCTTAGGCATCTGAAAGGGCCCACAGCACCCAGAAAAAGTATAAATCCTTGGTTCTGGGAAGCTGGTTGTTGCAGAGGCAGTCTGTATGTGTGTGTGTTACACATAAGTGCACACACACAAATGCACTCCTCAGGGCTGAGTCGTGTTCGTATCTGCCCTGTGTACTGAAGACCTGCTCCCTCCAGAGGGGACAGCCACTTTCCCAAGACCCCTGTGGCACATGGTGCCTCCACTCTGTCAGGCCAGCAGATGTGAGACCCTGAGGCTCCCCTGCCAAGAGGTGAAAGAATCACTTAGTGACTCCAGAGCCCAGCTCTTGCCTCTGGGCTTCACAGTGGAGCCAGAAGTGAGATAGGGACGCATCTCTGCTTGTCCTTCCCCAGCCACACCTCTGACACTGCCCGCTCTGCCCTGTCCCAGGTAAAGCTGTCGGACTTCGGTTTCTGTGCCCAGGTGAGCAAGGAAGTGCCTCGGAGGAAGTCACTGGTAGGCACGCCCTACTGGATGGCTCCAGAGCTCATCTCCCGCCTTCCCTACGGGCCAGAGGTAAGCCCATTGTGGCCTGGCTGTGTGGGAGCAGCCTCGGCCCGGGGGGTGGTGGGCGCCATCTGAGGGAGGGGTTGCAGGGGTTGCAGGCTTCACGGAAGAAGAGAGGGTGCATGAATTCGTTAGTTCATTATCGACTGATTACTGATTCCGAGCCAGGCGAGTACTTGCAGTGGGAGCAGAAGTAGCCATGGCCCTCCGTGGCAGTGTAGTGCAAGGCCACAAACTGGACTTTTCACTGAGTGGCCTGAAGAGACTCTTGCAGACATTTTTAATTGAGTTTGCTCACAGCCATCAGAACCTTCTGTTGAAAAGCCAGATTCTGTTGAATCTGCCCCTCTGTAGAGGCTGCTTGAACTCTTGGCAGCGATGGCTAAGAGAGACTCCTCACTTGAGAAAGGGCAGGTCCCTGTGTTTTAACTGAGTTCCCACCCACCCTAGTTGCCCACCCTGGCCTGCTCCACTCACTGTGGCTCCCTGACTGGTCCTGGGGATTCTGCTGGCCTTGCCCAGTACCTGGCTAGGGGAAAGGGTACCTCTGACCGAAGCGGGGTCACTGGGAAGGAGACTGGTGTGGAGTCTGAGAGGACTACCCACGAGTGAAAGAACCAGTACAAACTTCACCTCGACTGTTCTAGGGTGGACAGCTGTCCATGTGATTGTTCTCGTCACTGTCTTCGGTGACTTTGCTCAGGCAAGGGCCCCCTCGTGGAGCCGAGAGGACCCCTGGCCACGGGGATACTCCTCCCACTCTGGGTTCCCCAGAGGAAGGCTGGGAGCAGGCAGCAAAGAGCAGAGCTTGGCACTCGCCCCTCCAAGGACTTCCTGGAAGGGGAGCACATGGAGTCTGGCCTGCTGGCATCCTGGGCATCAGAGAAGGTGTTCTGGGCTCAGGGATTCTAGAAGCAAAGAAGCAAAATGGGGAACCGCCCCCGCTCGGGATTGCCGAGGACTGGTTTGCCTTCTGCCACCCAGCCTTGCCACTCCCTCCCCTACTGCAGGTGGACATCTGGTCGCTGGGGGTAATGGTGATTGAGATGGTGGACGGGGAGCCTCCCTACTTCAATGAGCCACCTCTCAAAGCCATGAAGATGATTCGGGACAACCTCCCACCCCGACTGAAGAACCTGCATAAGGTGGGTCCTTGCCAGCAGAGGGCTGGCACTCGAGGCTATATCCTGGATGGTTCTTAGGGTAGCGTCCCATGCACCAGGCTTCCATGCCCCAGGCCCTGTGTCTACACAGCCTGTCGGGAGAGCCCAAGACAGCAGAGCCCCGGGCCCCCTGGGCCCTCACAATCCAGAGGTTGAGGCTCCGCTGGCCTGACTGGAGGCATGCAGTATGGCCAAGCCCTCTCCTTGGCCTGTGCCAGAAAGCATTGCCTATTCAGAGGCAGAGGACAGTTCTGGGCCTGCCTGAGGGGGCCTCACACCATGGGAAAGGGCTGCCAGCCCCGTTCCAGGTGGTGAAAATAGAAAATAGGCCCTGGGGGCAGGCCATAGACACCAGTGAGCTCTCAGCCCCTCCAAGGCAGTAGATGCCCCTAGACAGGAAGAAAGTGAACACAGTGCCTTGGGCCTCTCCTGGACCCCCACCCCCACAGGTGTCGCCATCTCTAAAGGGCTTCCTGGACCGCCTGCTGGTGCGAGACCCGGCCCAGCGTGCCACAGCGGCCGAGCTGCTGAAGCACCCGTTCCTGGCCAAGGCGGGGCCGCCCTCCAGCATCGTGCCCCTCATGCGCCAGAACCGCACCAGATGAGGCCCAGCGCGCTGGCCCTGCACCAAAGAGCCCCTGGTCACCTGCTCTGCCAGATGCCAGTAAGGGCCAGCCCACTCCTCCAGCCCACAGGACACTCCATGCCGCACTGCCCTCCTTGCAGGGCCTCTCGGGTCCCTACTACTGAACTTCAGTTTTGACTTTGTGACTGTAAAACAGACTCATGGGAGTAGTGATGCTCCCAGGACCCCACTGGGGGATGGGCCCTTTAATGTCCTCCTGTTCCCCGGCAGGAGAGTGGCCCACCCATCACTGGAAATCTGCATTTGAGTCAGCAGGGCTGGAGAGAACACTTAGGAACATGTGTGTTCACGGCGTGTGTGTGCACACATGGAAAGCTCAGCTGCTCGGCCCTCAGCCGGCACGTTGGTGTCCCTGGAAGCTTGCCTAGCATCCAGCCCCTGCCCCGGAGCCAGTGCAGGGTCGCTCGTGCTCATGAATATCTGAGGAGTGGCCTTTTCCTGGGGGCCCTGCACACCCTTTCTGCGGCAGGAGGGGGCTGGTTGTTGCCTTCCCCACCCCCAGCCTCTGCAGCAAATGACTACTGCGCCCAGACAGCCTCCATTTTCTAGAAGTCTATTTATATTGTCATTTTATAACACTAACCCTGCCCCCGCCTGGGGATGGGGAACCCCTGTCTTACAGGTGGCACAGGGCACAGCCACTGCCTGAAAAATCAGGTTCTTGCCCTGGTGGCACAGCCCTGCCCTGCACTACCCTCCCTCGTTAGTTTTACAATTAAAACAATTCTCGTTTTTGTGTGGGTGTGTGTGGGTGTGTGTGCGTGCACGTGCATCTCTGTCTGGCCATCTTGGGGTGGGGGCCTAGCTAACGGAGGCTTCTGCCACCCAGGACCCATTCCCCTCCCCAGATGGGGCCAGGCTGATCCCAGGCCCAGGAGCGGCATGTCATGGTTTCCTGCAACCGCAGCTTGTTTTGAATGTGTTTGGTGGAAGGAGCTGACCCTTGACAAGTTGACATTGGTAAATCAGCCACTTGACAATTGGCCAGTGGGCAGATAGATGGCCTTTTGAAGGACAGGAGCTGCTCTGTGAGCAGGGCCACCCTCTAAGCCAAGGCGGGAATGGGTGGACATGGAGCTGCCCACACGTGCCGCCTCTTTCCCGGCACCCAGGAGGTGGCAGAGTTGGCAGGAGGATGCAGAGTGGACCCCTTCCTCTAGGGCCCACTGGGTGCCCTGCTGCCAGCACCTCGGTGTGTCTGATGCTGAGCCATGAGGGTCCAGGCACAGATGTAGGTCAGTCAGCCCTCACTTCTCCACAGAGCCCACTGTCACCACTGTCCCCGAAGGCCAAGGCGGTCTGGCAGCACTCTGCGAAACGGGACAGTAGGGCACAGGTTCACACCCAGTAGTGCAGGCATTGTGCCTCACACAGATGAAGTGGATTCATTTCTGCAAAGAAATCTGTCAGAATCAGAGTATGGTGGCACATGCTGCAGGAGGACCTGGAGCTGGAGTCCAGCCTGGACTGTTAAGCAAGATCCTGTTACAAAACTGTAAAAAGGGCTGGGGCTGTAACTCTAGCAGGGCACTTGCCTAGCATGTGTAAGGGAGGGTCCGTCGCCAGCTGGGGGCGGGGTAGATGCAGATACAGCCAGTAAGCAAAGGAACAGAGAACTCACCCACTCAACCCTCCAAGTAAATAGCCTGGGGTTCAAACGTGTTTATAAAGACACCTGCCAAAGGTGAAGGAACAGGTAATTCCTACTCTGTACAAGCGTCCCAGAAAATAGGGCAGGAGTGATGAGCTGCTGTGGCTGGCAAGGCTACAGGCTCCCTCTGATGCTGCTGGGCACTGAGCGCTGTCTTAGGCAGTGCCCAGCCTCTGGGTTACAAAGCGGCTGTGGACAGGAAGTTGCCTGCTTGTCACGTGTCTGACTCAGAGGTCACTGTCACTGCAGCTGGCAGGAGTGGCTCTAAAGTGGTGTGGTGGGAGCCTTTCTGGAACTGTCTCGGCACTGCCTCCAGCTGCTGTCACCAGTGCAGAAGGGTCACTGAAAGGGACATGTGACCCTTGGCTGTTTCAAGGGGGGCGGGGGAAGTGCAACTGCATGGCTGGGTTAGTCCCACATGGCAGCAAGGCTGGAGGAGCCAAACAGTGAGTACCCAGCAATCAGTGGAGGCCAGAGGTTGCCGTCACCCATGCAGCTGGGTGCCAGGGGGTCAGTGGCACTATCCAGACCCTGGAAAGCCACCTTTGCCTCTGCAGAGGCCAGAGCACAATGACTTCTCCCCCTTCCTTCCCACACTTCAAGTGTGTATGGCAGAGCCTTCCTGACACGGCAGGCGGCAGCTCTACAAAGTGGCTTCTCAGCCTTCTGGGCTGAGCAGCACAGGGACATTCTGGGGGCAGTGTGGGCCTGCAGCGGCCTCATCTGCTGTGATGGCCCCCCAGACTCCGGGACTCACATTGTACAGAGGTAACCAACCCAGGCCTCTGGTGCTAACTCAGCTGGACAGGAGAGCACCCCAGAGTCCAGGCAGCAGAGTCAGGTGTGCTAACTTGTGGGCCACCAGGGATATTTATGGAGAACCAAATGATCAGCTGAAACAGGTCAGACCAGTGGTTCCTAAACTAGGCACAGCTCTGAGAACTTGCTGGAAATACAAATTCCTGGGCCACACCCCAGGCTGAATCAGACATCCGGTGTCTGCAACCTGTATTTTGACACAGTCTGGTGGGATCTTCATTTGTTTTTTTGAGACAGGATCTTGCTATGTAATTCAGGCCAGCCTTGAACTCACCCTGTAGTTCAGGCTGGCCTTGAACTCATGGCAATCCTCCTGCCTCAGCCTCCTGACTGCTGGCATTACAGGCTTGTGCCACCACACCCGGCAGTAGTCTTCTATCCGAGCAGCTGTGGCTTTCATACTAATGCCATTGCTAATGAATTGTGATCCTCCACCCCTGTAGATTTGCTAGCTTTGGTTTAATGATACCACAGAGGGCTCAGAGGCTGAGCAGAAGTGTGCAGGGGCTTCATGCGCAAAAGATGTCACCTGCAAGTCTCTCAGGGAAGGGTAAGTAACAGCACTGGGGAGACTGGCTCGTTTTATAGACAGAAGAAAAGTGAGTCTCTGCCTAATACTATAAAACAGGCGGCCTAGGCCGCATGTAGCTATTTAATTTTTTAATCTTAATTTTAAAATTTTTTTGTACAGTCATTCCTACAAGTTTTATGACTGTTTGGTCAGTGAGTCTGCCAAGAAGACTCAGTGAAAGCCAGGAAGTAAGGATGGGAAAACTAGCAGAAAATAAATAGAGTTGTCATCCCAGAAAGAAACAGCCCAACAATAAAATGGCTCCGTATTTATTTCTACCTCCAATTTGTGGTGTTGTACTGTGAGCTGAATACACAGCCTTTGGACTGAGCTACATCCCTAGCCCTTTTTGAGACAGGGTCTTACTAAGTCATCAAGTTGCCCAGTTTGGGCTGGAAAGAGGCTGAGGCAGGGGGCTATTTAATTTTAAAGTAAAATAAAATTAAGCACGCAGCACCTGCAGTGCACAGGGGACGAGCACATTTGCACACTCGGTAGCTGCATGCAGCCAGAGGCTGGCCGCAGACAGTATTGCTGCAGCACATTTCCATGGTCTCGGCTCTCCTGGACAGCATGGCTCTAAATGGGTCAAAACGCTGACGGTGAAGCTGGGCAAAGTGGTGGATACCTGCGGTCCCACCTATTGGGGAGGCTGAGGCAGGAGGATCTCAAGTTCAAGGTCAACCTGGACAAATCAGCAACTTAGGGAAACCCTATCTCAGTACATAAACAAAGCCAAAGATGTAGCCGAGTGGTTGAAAGCTTACCTAGCATGTGTGACCCAGGGTTCTGCCCCCAGCACCAAATCCCCAAATAAACTGCTGCTATCCCAGCAGTCTTAGGAAACAGATCGTCTGAGCCACCCTTCAAGAAAGCGCCTCCATTGTCCTGTTTCATGGATGACAGACTGAGAACCCAAGATGTCAGAGGCAAGAGACAGCGGAGGCAGGGTTTGAACCCAGGTACTTGGTCCTGGCATCCTGCACGTAATCACCACGCCACACTAAACCCTCAGGCTCCCTGCACTGTGCCGCCAGAGGGTTCAATCTAGATGGGAAAATGTCAACCTCTTTCCTAGGATCAGGAAAAGGCCTGGGACAGCCCAATGAGGAGACTTGGGGTTGAGGGGCCTTGGGACTGGGGGACAAGAAGGGGTGGGTTTGGGAGGTGGGACCCCTCAGAGCCTTTTCCCAGAAGACCAAAGGAATCTTCAGAAGTTTAGGGTACGCTGCATTAAAACTAAATTCAGGGAGTGTGATGGAACACCTCCGTCACCTCTGCACTCTGGGAGGCTGAGGCAGGAGGATCACAAGTTGGAGCCCAGCATAGGCAATTTAGTGACATAATGAGACCCTGTCTCAAGACAAAATAAAAAGGGGCCAGGGATGGAGCTCAGTGTGAAAGCCCTGGAGCCCCAGTCCTGAAAACAAAAGTTAAGTTCCTCCCCTCCCCTTCCTCCCTCCTCTCCCCTGCACCTTTGTCTCTGATTTTCTCTATCACCCTTTCCTTCTGGTTTAATGTGGTTCATTGTTGGAGCGGGTTACCCAGGCCTATGACTGCAAAAGGGGACGCAGTGAAAAGTCAGCTCTGCCCTCACCCCCACCCATGGCCTCCCGCGTCCCTCTGCGGAGGCAGCCACTGCTGTAGGTTTCTGGTGGCTCCAGGAAGGTAATATCCCCTCGCCCACGTGCAGATCTGTACTCAGCCTCAGCCCAGGGCAGCCAGCTAACAGTGTATCTTTTTATTATCTTTATTTTCTTGGTACTAAGAATCAAACTCACAACCTCGTGCTTGCCAGGTGGATGCTATGCTCCTGAGCTGTATCCCAGCCCAGCAGCATCTTGATGGTCATTTCCTGGTAGAGCCAAAAATGCAGCCTGCTCCTATTAACAGCTGTGTATTATTACATAAAAACAACTTGCTCCTATTAATGACCATGTATTATTCCACGGAGCAGTTGTACCATGACTGACACAGTCTCCGATGATACGCAAGGAGCTGGAGTTGTCGGCCTGTTTCCGCTGCGCGGGGCACATGCTAAGAGTAAGCATCTGCCACTGAGCCACATCCCACGTGGGCCAATTTGCCAAATGTGTCTGCAGGTCGCCTACTCCCTTCCTAAGGGTGGATCCTCAAAAGTGATGGGGCCTCCAGATCCCTCTCTGGCTCTGGCAGACCCTACTTCAGCCTCTTCGGCTCCCTGGGCCTGGGCCTCTCAGTCCCTACCTTTCTGATTTCAGGCTTCCTGTGCTCCCTCCCTACACCGCACACCGTCTTTGCACTGAAGTGTGACGCCTTCCTCCTGTCTTCCTCCTACCCCACCTCATTCCTGCCCATCTGTCGCCCCCTACAGGACAAAGGTGGATCACCACCCAGTTCCCTACCAAAGAGCACGAACCCAGCCCCCTTTCCGCTTACCTGTTGCTCCTCCCACCCTCTGTTGTCCGGTGCAACCCAGGATCTGCTCCCCAAGGCAGAGTGCCTCTAGCAGGGCCCGGGCCTGGGGCACGCTGGCTTCCGGAGTGACACTGGCCTTGCTGTAGGAGCCGTGGGAGCCAAATGAGGTTCCTCAGCAGGATCCTCCCGCTTTGGGGCCAGTCCTATCCAGCACAGAGAGCCACGGTGCTTGTCAGCCCTGAGCTGGAGACAAACAGGAAACGGCCCTGCCCACAGCCCTGCCCCAGCGAGGCTGCCATTCTGGCAGGATGAGCCACAGGGTGACCAACCAAACGCATCCCCACATTCACATGTATTTACAGAGCACAGGAAGCACAAGAAAGCAGGAACAAGGTGTGGCGTCGCCAGAGCAGGGTGAGAAATGACCTGGGCTGGGAACGACCAATAGAGAGCGATTGACAAGATGCATCCTTAGGTAGGAAAAAACCAGAAAGGCGAGACTGGCATGAGCGGATGACAGACAACCCTGGAATCAGCAAGGGGGAGGCTTTTGCATACACAGAGCAGCATGTGCAATGGCCCTGGGGTGGAGGGCCAGCAAAACTATAGGACACTGAGCACAAAGAGGAGCACTGAGCTTGGGACTGCCTCAAGTCAGCAGGAGTAAGACCCATACAGTACTCCATGATCCCACTATTGTCATTTGTATTATTCCCCCCTCCAGTCACTCAGGCGACAACAGCCTGGTGCTTCCTAGCCTCTCTGACCTCCAGCCTTGGACACTATATCCCCAGAATTGTCCCTATAAATGTCCCCATTCACATCTCTTATGCAATACTTGATTTCCCCCCCAGATGCCTCTAACCTCACCCCTTCATTCCCTCTGCCCCACACTGACTTTCCTGCTGGCTCCCAAAAACACTGAGCTCAGTCCCACCTCAGGGCCTTTGCACTTGCTATTTCCTCTGCCTGGACATGTGCACCCATGTCTGAACTATGTACCAAAACCTTGTCTCAAAAAACCAAACAAAGAAGGGGCTGGGGATTTAGCTCAGCGGCATAAGCACCTGCCTTGCAAGCAGACGGTTGTGAGTTCAATCCCTGGTACCAAAAAAAAACAAAAAACAAAAAACAAAAAAACAAAAAACAAAGAGGGCCAGGGATTTAGCTCAGCAGCATAAGCGCCTGCCTGACAAGTACAAGGTTGTGAGATTGATATCCAGCGTAAAAAAAAAAAAAAAAAGCCGGGCATGGTGGTGCACTCCTGTAATCCCAACACTTGGGAGGCTGAGGTTAGAGGATTGTTGCAAGTTCAAGACCAGTCTGGGGTACAAAGTGAGCCCAAGACCATCTTGAACCACATAGGGAAATGCTGTCTCAAAAAGACAAAAAGAAAAAAAAAAGGCCAACTTTTTTTCTAAAATCAGTAGTGCACTCAGTGGTACAAATCCCTAAACATATAAAGCACAGAATTTCTTTTCCTTTTTTTGTTTTGAGACAGGATCTCATTATGTAGTCCAGGCTGGCCTTGAACTCACAATGTAGCCCAGGCTGGCCTGGAAGTCACTGTGATCCTCCTGCCTCAGGCCACTGAGTGCTGGGATTATAGGCATTCACCACCACACCCAGCAAAAAAGCCATTTTTCCTCTGTTAGTGCTATTTGGAAGAGGTAGAGCCTCCTGGGAGGTCGTAGGTCATTAGGGGCATGTTGCAGGAGTCAGGGGGCAGTGGGACCCACCCCTTCTCTTCCTGAGGTGACCAGGACAGTGAGGTGACCGCCATAATGTGCCACCCCAGGCCTGGAACAGCAAGAGCAGCCAGCTATGGACCGAAAGCTCCGAGGCTGGGGCCACAGCAGCCTGGTCCCAGCCACTGTCTCAGTGTTTGTTGCAGTGGCAGGAAGCTGAAGGCCATGGGCCACCTTCCGCAGAGACTGACAACCTCGGCTGGCCGTGGTCTCAGGGCCACAGCTCGCTGGGCTTGCTTATTCACAGCCATGCTCTGTTAGAATGCAAAGAAAGCTGCCCCCTTCCTTTTGTCTCTTATCAAAGTCTGACTTACACACAATACAATGTACCCACCTAAAACACACAGTGAGACTGGGGTCAGATGGCACACGCCAGTACCCCAGTACTCAGGAGGTTGAGACAGCAGAATCTCCGTGAGGTCAAGGCCGGGGGCCAGGGATTTAGCTCAGTGGCACAAGCACTTGCCTGGCGTGGATGACTGGGGTACAGTGTGGATGCACACTTGCTTTCTAAGGTGCTGCTAAATCCTTTCCCAGTGGCCACATGGTCGCTCACACGCTGTCACACGCATGATGTGTGATGTGTGGCTTTGGGGGAGGCTGCTGCGTGGGCTGCCAGGCCACAGCCAGTTAGGGAAAGCGTCTGCTCGAGGCTGGGTCTCTGCACTGGGGCCTCTCTGCTCTCCCCATGGGGAGAGGGGAGTTTAGGATCTGAGCTGGAACCCACCTGGCTTCCAGGACACAGGCTGGGCCCTGGGTCCCTCAGATTAAATAGAAGTTGCCCCCATAAGTTCCGGGCCCATCCCAGACTCCTGGGGTGGGACTCGGAATCTGCATTTTTAATAAGCACCCGGATGATGCTGACATACCCTCATGCTTGGGAACCACAAGTATGGGAGTACAGATGAGAGACGAGGGCATCCCAGCTAGAGAGAATGTCACAAGCAAAGCCCTGGGGCTGGAGATATAGCTCAGCGGCATAAGTGCCTGCCTTGCAAGCAGGCAGTCGTGAGTTCAATCCCTGGTACCGATAAAAAGGAAAAAAAAAACAAAAACAACAAGCAAAGCCCTAAGACAAGAGAGAGCAACAGAAATCCAGGGCCTTGAATGCAGCCAAAGGGTTGAAAGGTTCTTGGGAGGGCACTGGGGATCCATGGAGGGTTGAGGTGGTTGATGTGGCTTTCAGGACAGCAGGGCGAGGCGGCTGGACGGAGATGATGTGCCAGCCATGGAAGAGAGGTGCTCACGCCCCGAGACTTCTGTCCCCAGCCACACCCAGCCCTGGATTGTGACCTCACTTGTCAGTCACCCCTCCTCCTGCCCCTGTGCGATGAAGAGGCTGAGGGTGACGGGCCAGGGCAGGCAGGTGGGCAGCAGGACAGGGCTGTGGTGGCCGGGACGGACTCTGGTCGCGGGCGTGTTGTGTTCTCTGCCAGTTTCCCCAAGGAGAACTTCTGGGGACTTCCGGGTTGGGAAGGTTCCATCTGGCATTCGGATGAGTGAGCTGCCCCCCGGTAGGGGTCCCCACTCCCTCCAGGGTCCTGGTGGCTCCTCAGCTCCCCCAGGGCAGGTCATCTCACCTCCTTTGCCTCAGTTTCCTGATCCATAAACACAGGTCCTATTACCCATTCCCACTTCCTCAGGGGTATTAAAGGTTGATGAGTTCAGGACGCCTAATAATTACAGGCAACTCCTGGGCTGATATTTAGAGTTTATTTTTGTGGGGTTTTTTTTTTTCTTCTTTTTTAGACAGGGTTTTGCTATGTAGTCCAGGCTGACCTTGAACTCACTATAATGACCCAGCTGGCCTCAAACTCACAGTGATCCTCCTGTCTCAGCCTCCCGAGTGCTGGAATTATAGGCCTGTGTCACTACACCTGACTCCCAAATTGCTGTGCAATCCCCAGTGAGCCATGAGACCTCTCTGAGCAATGGACACGGCATTCACACATCCTTCCTAGGGTGGATGTGAGGCTGAATGAATTACCAACCTACAGGCCTGGGGACAGCGCCTGGTACCCGGCAGCCCTCATTACAGGAGCCACATCACTGCAGCATGACCTCTGCTCCCAGTGTTGTAGCAGTCAGGCTCGGGTCTCCACGGAATGTGGGGCGGCAAGTACCCATGGGAGTGTAGGGGACCAGGCCTGGGAGGCGACCTCTATTTCCTCATCTGTAAAGTGGGGTTCACAGTACCCCTCACAGGGTCACCATGGGAGTGACATCAGGAGGCACACAAGGCCCTTCTCACCCACTTACTGTCTCCTTTCCTCGCTCTACTAACTGTAGTCACGGTCACCCTGGCTCATCTGTGAGGACATGAACCCACCAAGTCAGCGCATACCTGGGCCAGGAAGTGGCCCGCGGGCATCTGGTCCTGCAGGTTCTTCGCCCCACCTCCTGCCCCATCCCTCACTCCAAACGCCCTGTGAGGAGACCTGGGGGGTGGAGGACACCCAGGAAAACAATGCTTACTGCCTCCCCCAGCCCCGGGAGCCCCTGCTCGCCCCCATCCCTGGTGCAGGGTCTCCTGCTGACCTCCCCGCCTTGCTTCCAGGACAGGCGTGTGGCACAGAGGCAGCGGGTCCCTTGCCAGCCCTGCACTCCCCAGAAGCAGGGTTTTCACTAATCAGCCTTGCAGACCTGCTGCCGGATCCTAACCAGGCCAAGAGGCCTCATTAGCGGGCAGAGGCCTGGTATTAGCGTGTTTGTCACATCCCTCGCCTAGGGCCAGTGCGCGGGTCCTCAGCTGCCCTGGGAAACTGGGGCAGGAAGGCTGGGAAAATGGGGGGCAACCGGAGGTCCAGGACCCCTGCGTCTGTGGGCGGTGGCGGCCGAGGGAGGAGGCCCAGCCCGCTGGGGAGGAGCCGCCCGGCCTCCCCTCCCGCCCCGTCCCCGCCCCGCCTCCCCGTCCAGGTAGCGCGGAGCGGGCGCCGCGAGGAGCAGTCGCTCCCGCCTGGGCATGGAGAAGACGGGGGGCCCGGCCGCCGTCGGGGCGGGCACGGAGGCCGAGGGGCCCGGGAGCGCCCGGGAGCTGCCCCCGCCGCCGCCCTCCCCGCCGCCGCCCGCGACCCCGGAGGCCCTGGAGCTCCCGCAGCCCGAGCCGTCGGAGGCCAGCGCCCGGCAGCTGCTGCTGGACGAGTGGGGGCCGCTGGGCGAGAGCCTGCTGCTGCCCGCCACCGTCACCTGGAAGCTGCTGCTGCTGCGGAGGCCGCTGTACCGCAACCTGCTGCGCTCGCCCAACCCCGAGGGTGCGCGGGACCCGGGCTCACCCTCCGGCCGGGCTGGTCCGGCCTGGCCCAGGCTGCTGCCCTCCGGTCCGCCCGGTCGGGGAGGGCGCCTGTGTCAGGAGCCGGCCTAAAGTTCCCTCCCTTCTGCGTTTCAGGCATCAACATTTACCAGCCGGCACCCGCTAGGGGTCCCACCCGGCAGCCCCTGGAGGCGCTGGGTAAGTTCCGGGGCTCAGGGGCCACCCGGGGAGGACTGTCCCTAAAGAAACACTCTACCCCTTTCTCCTCTGCTCTCCAGGCAATTTCCAAGGATGGCGCATCGGGACGGAACAGCTCCAGCAGAACCTCAGGTGAGTGGACCTCGGCAGGCTCCCCGCTGCACCTGGCTGCTGTGGAGCTGCACAAGCAGCCTGGGCCTCCCCGGGCCTGCCTGCATTTCCTGCTCCGTGCACCAGAATTAGCCATGAGAGAGATGCTCACAAAACTCAGCACAGGGGCCAGTGAGGTCGGGTGCTCAACAAATAGCAGCAGATTGTTATCCTTAGGCCCAACCTCTTTCCCTAGGAGGGGAAGGCACCGGAGGAGACCATTAATCCTCCATCCACCAACAGTGGATGAGAGAGTGTGACAGTGGCTCCAAGTCACACATGTCAGGATTTGGATCCTGGCTCGGCCACTTTTTGCTGCATGATCTTGGACAAGACCCATGTCTCCCCCTGCCCCGTCCCAGGACCCCAGGATCAAAGCCAAGGCCTACACTGAGCTGCCACCTGACCCCTTTTCTGACCCCTTTTTACTTTGAGACTGGGTCTCACTAACTCACAGGCTGGGCTTGAATTTAGGATCCCCTTGCCCCCAGCCTCCCAGAGTGCCTGGATCATAGGTATGCACTACCATGCCTGGCTTTGCAAGACTTCATGTTAAACCTCAGTTTCCTACCTGGATTCTGAATGGCGCTGAAGGAGCAGGAGGCTTGGATGGTATGGTTTCATCACTATGAGAGCGCCATGATCAGATAGCAGCCCCCTAGGGAACTCAGGGTCACTACCTGTGCCTGCCACGTCTCCATCCTGTTTTGTAGCTGGACGGTAAAGCAGCAGTGTGTGAACCTCCTGGCTGAGGGCCTGTGGGAGGAACTGCTGGATGATGAGCAGCCGGATATCACTGTTATGGACTGGTAGGTGCCCTGCTCTGTAGCCTGACCTGGCCCCCAGAGCCTCCTCAGCGCACACCCCAGGGTACTGCGTTCTCAGCCTAACCCTGGTACTGCAGGGCTGCCCTGCCTCCACCTCTCCGGCCACTGCTTTCTGCCTTTCTTGTATCTTCAGACTTTCCTGAGGCTGTTGCTACCTCCCTGGATGCTTGTCCTGCTGTTCTCCAGAGGAATAAGAATTCCTGCTTATTGCCAGGTCTTCCCTGACCAGCCCAGCTCCAAGCCTTTGCTACAATGCCCTGCGAGCCCTACCCTGCTGCCACCTCTGCCTGCTGCCCTGGCCATATCTGGCTGTCCCTGCTGGGTGACATGTCTGCCTCCCACTAGACTGTGCCTCCCATGAGGACAGGGTGTGAGGCTATGGTCACTGCTGTGGCCAACACTGCCCAGCCTGGGTCATGCTGCCTAGACACCGGCCAGGGTGGGACAGGCCAGTGGTCGGGGCGGGGATGTCTGCGTGGCAGCTGAGGTCTGGTCCCCCCTCCAGGTACGAGGACAGCCGCCTGGACCAGTGCGTCTATGAGCTGCACGTCTGGCTGCTGGCGTCAGACTGCCGCACGGTCATCGCACAGCACCACGTGGCCCCCAGGAGCTCTGGGAGGGGCTCACCTGGCCACTGGATCCAGGTGAGACAGGGGCGTTCCCAGGACGTCACGGGGGTAAGAGAGGTCTGGGTCCTACAAGCACGCCTTCCTGACCCTGTGCTTCCTAACACAGGTGTCACACGTGTTCCGCCAGTACGGCCCTGGGGTGCGCTTTGTCCACTTCCTGCACAAGACCAAGAACCGCACGGAGCCTGGGGGGATACGGCGGACGAGGGTGACAGACTCGTCTGTGTCTGTGCAGCTCAGGGAGTGAGAGGCTGCCCCTGTGCCTCCTTGACCCACCGCACCTGCTTGACCTTTAAGTCCTAGGGCTCCTTCCTGCTCCTTTCTCACTTCTCTGACCTCTAGTGTCTCGTTCCCTGACCCTTTAGCCCCACTGTGTCCCCTTGACACCACGCTGGCCCCTTCCTGACCTCTCAGCACCTCTGTCCCAACTCAAGTCCTTACATTTTGGCTTCTCTTTGACCTCTGCACACATCCTCCTGGTTTTCTGACACAGAGGCCACTCCTTGCGAATTCAGTGCTTGTCCGATAGTAGGTGCTCAATAAATCTTCACTGAATGAACACACAAGCCCGCGGTTGCTCAGTGCTTCTGTGGTCTGTGCTCCTTAGAGCTTCGCTCATGTGCACCCATGGGCACCTCCTCCAGTGCTTGATAATCCAGCACTGTTGGGCTATTTGTACCAACCTTGACTCTGAACTCTTCTCACGCCACCATTAGACAGCCTCTTGCCTGTTCTCCTTAGCTCTTCCCCCATGTTCCCGAACCTGGCAGTTTCCCCAGCCCCCACCTGCTTCCAAGCAGTCTGTGGTTCCCGCAGATCAGTCCCTCACTTTTCTTCCCAGAATCCATTGGGTGTCTTCTCTGTTTCCACCAGAGGCCTTGCGTCCAGACAGCCCTCAAGGGTCCTCATCCCTAGGGGTACTGGGGACACTGATTGCAACCTGGACAGAAATGTGAAGGCTAGAACCAGAGTGTCCTCTGTGTGTCAGGGCGGGGGATTAAAAGTATTGAACAAGCTAGCTGTGCTGACACCTGCACGTAGTCCCAGGCTCTCGGGGGCTGAGGTAGGAAGACTGCAAATTCGAGACCAGCCTGGAAATTTAATGAGACTGTGTCTCAAAATAAAAATTTTAAAAGGCCAGGGATATAGCTTGGTAAAAGCTCTGGGTTTAGGCTGAGGTGGGAGGATCATTTCGAGTTTGAGACCAGCTTGGGCTGCAAAGTGAGCTCAAGGCCAGCCTGAACTGCATAGTGAGACCCGTCTCAAAAAAGACAAAAATAAATAAATAAAAAATAAAAGCTCTGGGTTTAAATCCCAGTTTAATTTTTAAAATATCACTGAACTGACCCTGACCCTAGCTTGGGACAGTGTCCTAATGCTGGAAAAAATGCCCCTGTTGTCCCAGGCTTGAAGGGCAGGGCCTGGAGCTTCCTGAGAGGCCAGAACAGCTCAGGAAAAGGCTATTATTGACCAGCAGGTGAGATTTCAATACCTAGCACCCAGCTGGTGGTGCCCTCCCAAGCCCCACACGGTCCCTCTGTGTCTGTGCACACCGGACTCCAGTCAGATCTGTGTCCCCCTCTGCAGCACTGTCCTGCGGATGAGCTGACCCAGGCCTGACCACCTGCCCTCTCCCTAGCTGCATCCCCCCCTGTGTAGATCTGGGTTCTAAGCATGAGCGGATGGTGACGGGGACAACATCACTGGCTGTATTGCAGGGAAGGAGGGTGGCAGGCAGATAGAAAGCTCTCTGCTTCCAGGCCAGGGGCCTGCAGCAGTCCCGGGGAAAGGCCAGGTGAGGGGCTCAGCACTGCTGGGGGAACTTCAGGGGAGGGGCCCTCGAGGCATCAGTAGCGCCTACAGCACATCTACCATGGGCTCAGAGATCCAAGGTGTGGCAGGGGAGGGAATGGGGGGCTTTTGGAGCTTGGGCGGGGCAGCACTGGGGCTGGTATGGAGGGTACTGCAGCTGGATCTAGGGTACCAGGCTCTGGAAGTCTGGGACCATAAATGCAGGCTGTGCTCTGGGGACCCCAGGAATGGGGCTGGGTACTCTGGAACTGGTTTTGGGGAGTTAGAGATGGGTGGGGAACCTGCAAGCCAGACTAGACTAGACACCCTAGAACTGGGCCTGGGTCAGTCTTAGTGTCTGAGAACCCCAGAGTGGAGTCTGAAAGTTTCAGATGGGATGATTTGGGGTGGGTTGAGGGCTGGCTTTAAGCCTTTGGCACTGAAGGTGGTTTGGGGTGCACTCTGAGGTAGGGGTCTCCAGGACCGGCTCTGGAGTCTGACTTGGGGTCTCAGAGGCTTGGGTGGCAGGGTTAGGGGCTGGGAACCGGGTAGGGTGTCATTGAGGGTTCAGAGTGCCAGTGCAGTACAGCCTGGTGATGACACTGGACCAGTTCCCCAGGAGGCCCTTGCAGGACTCCGCCAGGCACAGGTAGGCGCTGAGGTGAACTTTCGCATCTTGGCGAAGAGTTTGGCGCACGTGAGGGTCCCTTCCAAGCTCCTGAGATCTGCGGGCGCTGGGCAAGCTCCTTGGACACCAGGGGCAGCCGCCAGGGCCAGCGCCAACAGCAGCGGGCACAGCGGAACTGGGTGACACTGTGGAACTGCACCCCAGTGGGCTTCTATGCATCTGACTGTGGGAAAGGAGACTTGTGAGATGAGGACTCTGGAGAGAGAGAGCCTGGCGAGGGTGAACGCAGGGTCGACCTAGGGCATTATTTGTGTAACACTAAGAAAGTCATTAAGTAGTCAGTCAGTTGGCAGGCATTGAGGACATTGTGTGTGTGTGTGTGTGTGTGTGATACTGGAGGTTACAGTTAAGACTTTTGTACTGAACTAAATATCCCACATGCATACTTTAAAAATTTTTTTTTTGTTTTGAGACATGGTCTTGTTAAATGGCTGAGTTGGCCAAGTTGGACTCAAACTGACAATTTTCCCTGGAATTGCATGGACCACCACAGTGGCTTACATACAGTACTTGTATGACTCATTTGTTTCTTTGAGGCACATTCTTACTGTATAGTTCAGGCTTGTCCTGAACTTACAGTGTAGCCCAGGCCTGGCACTCACTATGCTCCTCCTGCCTCAGCTTCCCAAGTGCTGGAATTACACACCACCGTGCCCAGCCTTGAATAAGACTTTTTAAACCTTTGCCAGACAAAACATGTGAGAAAACTTTTGCCACACTCTGCACAACAGAGCTAATAGCTATAATATATAAAGAGTCTTAGGAGTCGAGAAGGAGAAGTCAGCCCTTCCTCAACATGCACTAAAGCACAGGCCTAGGAGGGGAAGGAGGAGGGGCAGGAAGCTGCCACCTCCAGCCAAGAGGCTTTTGTCCTTTGTCTTCTGTTTTTGCAATGCCGAGGATCAAACCCACAGCCTCACACATACAAGCCAAGTGCTCTACCCGCTGAGCGACACCCCACCCCTACCTACAGGCTTCACTGCCCGGAGTGGAAAGCTTGAACCTGCAAAAGAAGTGGTAGGCCTGTGTCAAACTGAAAAACTTCTTTGTAGTAAGCAAAGCAAAGCAAAATAAAAAGAACCCAAATGCAGGCATGAAAACACAATGTTGATTCACGTCATATACAATGAGTTCTTTCCAGTCAGCAGGCAGAAACAAAACTAGCCAACGGGCGAGTTCAGGGTGGGAGGGAATCGAAGGTCCTAGGTCTACACAGAGACTCCTGGTATTGGAACCCTGGCCAAAGCACTTTGGAGACACCTCAGAGCTCTGAGACTGGTGTGGATGAGAACAAGGTCCACAGTGTGATGGGGCAGACAGGATCTGTGGTTCTGTAAGTGTGGGCCTCAGTTTCCCCATCTGCAAGGTGGGTGATATTTCATCCTCCACCACCGGATTGATGTGAAAGTGGATTGTTGTGAATCTATATATACAGATATGGAGGGTGGGGGAGGGCAGCCTAGGGAGCCAGACCCTGGGCCCAAGTCCCGGCCACCCATGAGCTGGTGCTCATCACTGCGCCTCAGGGCTTCCTGGGGACACTGTTGTCCCCAGAAGTCATCTACTTCAGAATGCTAGTGTAAGGGACAAATGAGTTAATCTAGGTATCAGCACTGCAGCCAAGCAGTGTGGCCTATACCTATAATCCCAACATTTAGGAGGCTAAGGAAGGAGGATTGCTGCAAATTTGAGGTCAGCCTGAGCTACACAGTGAATTTTTTTTTTTTTTTGTCTTTTTTCATTTTTATCGGTACCAGGGATCGAACTCACGACCGCCTGCTTGCAAGGCAGGTGCTTATGCCGCTGAGCTAAATCCCCAGCCCCTACACAGTGAATTTAAGGCAGCCCGAACTGCATAGGAAACCCTGTCTCCAGCAACAACACAACACAAAACAAAACCGTGGTCACTGGCCTTCCAATAAAGCCATAAAACCTTCAAAATTGCTCTGTTACACGGATACTAAGCACCCGACATTAAAAAATAAGAGGAAAAAGCTGTGAATACGAAGAACAGAAGCAATTATTAGAGGCCACCACTTCCTCCAATGTGTCTGTACTGGGCGCGTCACCCTTAGTGGGTTAGCACATTGCTAAGGCTGAGAAGCCCTATAGCAGAGGTAAAGAGTTGATCCTGCCTCCTAAGAACATTTGTCATGAGCTTTTAGGAGAGGCTGCAGTTCAAAAGGTGCCCCAGCATAACTAAAGGAACTGATGAATTAGCAGAAAGTCTGAGCCTCGGTTGTTAGACAGGATTAGTGAATCACTGTGGTCTGCTAGCCGGGGTGAGCAGTCTACCCAGGGTGACCAGGCAACACTGCTTGCTTTGTGCAATATCTTTTGCAGGAAGATGTACGTGAAGCTATGTCATGTGCACTTACGATGCCAGCCAACACCAAAGCTGCAGAGCTATTCAAGTCTTAAGTGATTACACAGGAGGAAAACAGAACTGGTGGCTTTCGTATTGGTATCTGCACAGATGGAGTGGCTGCCATGCTTGTTTCGATACTCAGGTGAAAGAGGCCACTTCTGAATGTGGGTCTGTCTACACTGTCATCCGTAGAGAAATGCTGGCTAGCAGGGATATATCACCTGAGCCTCACAACGTTCTGCAAGATGTGATTAAAATTATAAACCACACTAAAGTACATGCCCTTACCTCACATCTGTGCATGTACCTCTGCGAAGACATGGATGCAGGGCACACCCAGAGAAGGGAGGTGATTTTTATCATTTATTTATTTTGCAGTGGCTTTGTAAGGGTATATCACTGGTCAGAGTTTTTGAGTTATGAGAGCTGCTTCAGAGATTTCTTTTAGAAAAATAATCATCACTGGCAGCATAGTTCAGTGACATAGGATGGGTTGAAATTTTGTTGACTTCTGTGACATATTCAGCCTGCTCAGTGAACTCAATCTGTCACTTCCAGGAAATATGATAACTGTGTTCAAGTTGGCAGATTAAGTGGCTGCATTCAAAGCCAAACCTAATTATGGGGCGACAAATGAACATTGGGATTTTGGACATGTTTTAAACATTAGCAGAGCTTTTGAAAGAGACTGAGCCAGGGCCTTATTTTTCCCACAATCA